ATGCAAGACCTTACATGTGGGGCACAACAATCCATGTCACAACTACCAAACTGACAGCACTACCTTACAGCAGATAGATGAAGTAAAGGACCTTGGAATCAGAATTCATAATTCACTAAGAGTTGCACAACAAACGGGAGCAGCAGTAAAAAAAAGCGAACAAAACCTTGAGAATAATCAAGCGTACCTTTACCTTCAAGGAAATGAAAGTAGTTGTTCAATTGTATAAGTCTCTGGTGCACCCCCACCTGGATTATTACATCTAGGCATGGAGACCTCATCTTCAGAAAGACAACTGCTCTGGAGAAGGTGCAATACCGTGCAACAAAATTCACACCAGAGTTTAGTCATCTCATGTATCAGGAACGGTTGAGGACTACTGGGCTAACAACACTGCAAACCAGGCATGACAGGGCAGATCCCATAGAAACCTTCAAAATACTAAACAATTTGGACGATGTAAATCCCAACACTTTCTTCAGATGTAACACGAACAAGGAACAACGGGTTCAAGCTCAATAGGCCACATGTATGACAGAAAACAGGAGAAGCTTTTTCACCCATAGGATTGTAAATCCGCGGGTGAAAGCCTTCCCATTGAAGCCGTAAATGCCAAAACTCTGCTGGGTTTTAAAATACAGATAGAAAGGATCATCAGGGCAAATGGGGGGACCTTTGACTAGCCGCCAGTTTCCTGTCCTTGTCAAGGCCACTAGTATTAGTGGCCCTCAGATAAATATGTACAGTATATGTATATATACAGTATATGCGTATATATATTTATACGTATATATATGTGTGTGTATATATATGAGAAGAAAGGTTGCAGGAACATGCAACCCATAATTCATTAAGACAACAAGTATACTGTAAGCCTCCAATCTTAAAATAATATAACTAAAAAAACATGCTGACATTACTTGAAACAATAATGTAAGAGATACAATTTCAAGACACCTATAAAACTGTCAAATAAAAACTAGCTTATGTTAGCATTATTAATGTGAGGCATACAGCTGGCTGTTCTTCATGATCGCGTTCTAATCAGAAACAAAATAGACACATGTACACACATAGCAATATGTAGAAGCCATAAACAACTGCACAGCAGTGAGAAGGGAGGCAGAGAGAAATTTTGAGACAGGGATAGTAGACAAATGTAAAACAGAACCAGACCAATTTCTATAAATTTTTTAAAAGTACCGTAAATTGCAGGTAAAGGATAAAATTCAGATGTTGAAAATGGGGAACAAATTCATGAAGAATAAAAATGAAATGTGAAACATTAAACAAATAGTTTCAAAATGTGATTGTGAAAAACAAAGTTTTCAGAGAATAAGAGTACACAGAATAAGAAAATAAGAATACATAGAATAATAAGAATAAGAGATTAAGTGGAAAAAATGTCAAGGAGCTAAATAGGAACAAAGCAGTTTCCCCAAGATGGAATTTCACCTTGGGTTCTGAGAGAACATGCATTCTATTTCATCTCAGCATTCCATTTCAATTGATTTTTCAGTCATCTTTGTGTACAGGAGTCTTGGTAGATATGGAAAAAAGCAAACATAGTTCCAATCTACAAAATGTTAGCAGGGAAGACCTCTTCTAGACCTGTATCATTGACAAGCATGAAGTCAAAACATTAAGAAAAACAATAAAACCAAATGGGTAAATCACCTGGAGAGAAATTATATAATAATTTCTCGATTTACGAACAGAACTATGGTTTTCGAACAGGAAGATCCTGAATAACAAATCTACTTTGTTTATATGATAGAGCCATAAAAAATTTTTAGGAAAGAAATGGTTGGGTTGACTGCTTTATCTGGACCTATAAAAAGCTATTGAAAACGTATCTCACATAAGAGAAGTGACTACATATTGGGGATACCTCATAACACAAATATTATAATAAAAAACTGTAAATGAGCATTAATTGAACACTGTATATTAAATGAACACTGTACATTTACTGAACACTGTAAATTAACATCAACTATGTTCTATGAATGCATAGATGATTTGGGAGCCCCCAGGAGTCCCTCATGGTGACAAGCACCCGCCCTGTCCCGCCTCACACAGAGAATACCGGGTACCAAAACCAAAAACTCTGCCCCCAACTTAATTACAAAAAAGTCATTCAGTCGTCCCCCGGCAGAGCAAAAGCCAGCCACCCACCACGTCTGAGGACACAAAAGGAGCCCACCAACTCCTGGCACCGGGCACCGTCACCCGGCCCTAAAACCAGCCACAAAACGTTCAAAATTTATAAATTATCCCGCGACCCAAGGCGATTTGTGCGTCGTAACAATCCAAACCGTTGAATAGGAATGCCAAACGACAGTATCAAAATCCATAATCGCTAAATAGAACGTGATCCAGCGGCCCCCAGGAGGAGCAGGTGTCCAGACACCCGCTCGTCGTCAAGGTTGAACCAGGAGCTGTTGTGTTGTTGTTTTGGTGCGAGCTGTCCAATCACGGCTGGGGAGCACTTAAGTTGTTCTTGCGGCCACGTTACCGTTTTCTATGTTGTATAATCGGGGTAACTTTGTATAACTTTGTGTGTTTAGTTGACCCAAATACATACTTTAAGATGAAGGGATGACGACGTTTCGGTCTGTCCTGGACCATTATCAACTCGATTGTAATGAGACGAGGTTCTTGTTTTAGATTCAGCTACTCCGAACAAATATTCTAAGTAGCTATGATGAGCCCGTAGTGAAATTACCTGGCACAGAACGAGGCTATATCTAGTGGTACTGAGGCGAGTTTGATTGGTGAAGATTAAGCCTCCCAAGACTGAGACGATTGATTGATAAAGATTAAGCCACCCAAGAGGTGGCACGGGCATGAATAGCCCGTAAACTGAGACTAGGGAGGCACGGCATTAAGTAAGGAAAGACAGAGGTGACGAGGAAATCTTAGAGGAAGGTAAGAGCTAGGTGAAAGGTGTGGAAGGGATGGGTGTCCCGCCTATTTTTGTGTAATAAAGGATGTAAGGGGGTAATAATAGCAGTAAGAATGAGAACGTAAGAAAAAGAAGAGAAAGAAAAAGAAAGAGAAAAATGAAGGGTAGGCTTATGTTAGGTCACGTTTGTTAGAAGGTTTAGAACATTATAGTATATACTGAGAAAGGGAAGAGTTAACAGCAATACAGTCAGGAATAAGGTTCATATTGGGTAGGTTGTGTATCAGAGCCGATTCGACAAGACGGCGTCTGTGTAGAGCAGAGGCAGGAAAGATTATTTTAGAATGTCTGGGATGCTTCCGGACGCAGGTTCGAATCCTCGTCACGGCCCTTGTGGATTTGTTCATTATTTTAGAAGACCAATCAATAGGATGATTAAAATACCTAACATGACAGAAGAGAGTCTGTCATTTAGTGTACGGCCAGTTTCCCCAAAGTATTGGAGAGGACAAGACAAACAGGAAATAGAGTAGACACCAGCGGCATTAGAAGCAGGAGGAACAGTGTGAATTAGATTACTACGAAGTGTTAGTTTGTCTAGAGGAGGTAGCGTATTAGTAAGAGTTTTGAGTTCAAATATGAAGGGAAGGCAGAGCACAGTGCTAGACGTGTTGCAAACAAGTTTAGGATGAAAGAAATTTCGTTTAGCTTGAGAATAGGCACAGTTGATAAAAGGTAAGGGATGACCAAGGCGAGAGAAAAATTCGTCTTTCTTTTGGCTTGTCCTCTCCAATACTTTGGGGGAAACTGGACGTACACTAAATGACAGACTTAATTAAGGAACACAAAAGAAATTCAACACGGTACAATGTAAAAGACTGAGAACAGGAGATGCTTTTTCACCCACAGTGTTATTAACCCAAGGAACCGCCTACCCGCCGAAGCCGTAACTGCCAAAACTGTGTTGAATTTTAAAATGTACCTGGAAAATATCATCAAGGAAAATGGGGAGACCTTCGACAAACCGCTGGGTTCCTGTCCTCGTCGAGACCATTAGGGTTATTGGCCCTCAGATAAAATCAGGTAAAAGATCTGGAATGGTTACCTCAGGTGGGCTCTGTCACGTGTTGATATACGACAGAACCAAGTAGACTCTGTAACTATATACCAGTCGTTGGTATATAGTTAAGTATATAAGTATATAGTAAAGTTACGAGTCTGGACCCAAGAGCCGTGGCTCATCCCCCTCAAATACAACCAGGTGAATACATAATGGGAGCAGGAATTCAACATAAGGCAGTGATGTTGTTGTGGATGGATTGGACCTTGGACAAGCCGTCGGTTTCCTGCCCTCGTCGAGGCTACTAGAGAGATATCGTAGCCCTCAGGTAAATTCAGGTAAACAGCACCACCACCGCTATAGGGACCACCTGCAAAACGGAAGTACATGGTTATTGGAAACACACCAGGTATAAACACAAAGAAATAGATACTGTACAGTATAATAATGATCGAATTAAGGCTCGAACACACCAAACTAGCAGCACACAGCAATAACAATAGAACAGACATAAATGAACTTTGCTTCCACCGCCAAATTATTTCCTTCAATGTTTCAGACATCAGACCAGAATTAATTCCAAAGAAGTGCTTATCACCCTCAACGTACCTTTTAGAATCGAGCATATATTAAGGGAGGAGACCTCTCACTACATATATAAAATATCAAGTGGTCACAGCATTGGCTAAATATCTCCAGTCAATCAAAAAACTTGGCCACATCTGATTTATTCATGTAACTCTAACCACGCGGACAAATCATAGAAAACGTAACCCTAGCATCAAAGAACAGTAACGATCAGCTGACTCCATCCAACACATGGGTCTGGTCGAATCGTACACAGCCGTTTCGGATACCGGATATCGTAACTATCGTACATATCAGTCTGATAATCCAACATTATGCTTGTAACTCTGCATCTATGTATGTAGTTTTCCTGAATAAAATATTATTATTATTATTATTATTATTATTATTATTATTATTATTATTATTATTATTATTATTATTATTATTATTATTTTTATAGCTAAATGTTTCTCACGAGACTCGTCACAGTGACTAGGTTGATAAATAATGACTTGATAAGGCTTGAATGGTGGTGTTAAGGATGATATCGAGGCCAGACGTGTTTAGTTACACTACATATATTTGGGGCGAGGGCTGGGTACAAGTGTAGGGAACCATTAGTATAAACTACTGGTCCTCTACCCTTCACCCCAAACTAGTCTGGCTAATTACCCAAAGTTACCCAAATCTACTCAAAACTACCAAAATCTACCCAAACCTACCCAGAGCTCTCCCCAACATTACGTAAGTAATGAAGATATATGATATATTTACTTGCTCCCACCGAGCTATTTCAGACCTTGTACTGAAATGTGTACAAGTCTTCAAACTTGATATATTAATTATAAGTGACGCTTTGTCATCTTTATTTGCACTACGACACTTTTTAAGACACTCCATTTCATGTGGATTCCCATCTCATTTTGGCTTCTAAATGTATGATGGAGCTGATGAGTTAGCCTCCAAAAAAATGCATTTAAAAAAATGATTAGATTATAACCTTGGATTGCCTATAAGCAATCTGAGAGTAATAATACACCACAAACTTCAACAAAACCTTGTAGATCTGAGGCAAAGTGAAATCAACACTAGTAATTCCATCTATTATACTCTCATGCAAGAAGAGCCACACATCTATGGATCATCCAATAAAATCAGCAGACTCCTAGATGTTGCTACTGCTCGGCTATAAGTATCTCTGGGAACTTTCATTACCGACCAATGTAGACCTGACCAAATGTATATTCTCAACAAAATTATTGTTGACAATCAACAAAATTTATTATTGTTGACAATCAACAAAATTTATTATTGTTGACAATCAACAAAATTTATTATTGTTGACAATCAACAAAATTTATTATTGTTGACAATCAACAAAATTTATTATTGTTGACAATCAACAAAATTTATTATTGTTGACAATCAACAAAATTTATTATTGTTGACAATCAACAAAATTTATTATTGTTGACAATCAACAAAATTTATTATTGTTGACAATCAACAAAATTTATTATTGTTGACAATCAACAAAATTTATTATTGTTGACAATCAACAAAATTTATTATTGTTGACAATCAACAAAATTTATTATTGTTGACAATCAACAAAATTATTGTTGACAATCAACATTGTTGTACAATCATCAAGACTGTAACTTGCTTAGCTAAATAAATTTTAAGGGTTCAATCCCAGAGCCCATTATGTGTCTCTGTAACCTATCCACTACTACCCACAACCCGTCCTCTTACAAATTACGTCACTTTTCTCTCATATGCACACTCAGGCTAAAAATAGACGTAATTCAAAATGAAGTCTGCTCATGAAAGTGACGTACTGCCCTGTTTTCTGTTTTGGGTCCTCTGGCTTGGGCTGTTAGGTTAGGAGAGGAAACATTCAATTAACAGTTTTCATGACGTTTTTAACCCTTAGGAGAACTTCCTGCCCTCCAAACCTATCAGAGGACCCTTAACTTGCTGTTTTGGAAAAAAAAAAGTTGGAAAATATATTTTAATTTTGAATTGCATCGATATTTGGCTATAGCGTATACGAGTGAAAAGCGAAGTAATTTGTAATAGGACGAGTTGACCACTCACAGGATGGATATGGAATGTATAATAAATTAACTAAACTAAAAACAGGGACGTTGATATCTTTTTCACTTTTTCAGGTTCGTCCAATAGTGTGCTGCTGTCCCCTTTTTCCAGTTCTTCCAGTTCTACTCTTTGTTCATTGCAGACTATTCAAGTTTGTTATATAAAATAATAATAATGGCAGGGTTAACAAGAGGTAAACTTGTAACACTCCAGAGAATTCTAAGCTCTGGAATGATTTGTCAGCCTAATGCCTGTCCTCGTTGGATCAACTCTCCATGCACAGCTCGACGAATGTCATTAGGTTTGCTGGAACTTTTATTTTGTTCATTAAAATTTAAAGTAAATAATCTACAATAATTAAAATTATTTAAAAATTGCTGGAGTGAAGGCATCTTACATCCAAACTTGCTCCCATGCCTGAATTATGTTTTACGTTTCATTTTACCAAATATATATTCTGTTAATTTTTCACATATTTTTGTGGGGGAAATTTAGCTTTGGTAGCTGAGCAGTGCTGCTTGGATTCCCATGGCACTTGGATTCCCATGGCACTGATTCCCATGATGTTTTGCTCCATTGCTTTTTATGCCCTTTTAGTGTCTACTTTTGTAATTCTACAATTTAAGTATACTGTACTGTACTGTACTGTACTGTAAATCTGCTAGAAAACAAATGAAAACAAATATTACAAAATAAAACACCTTCTATTTGACTTCAAAAAATAATGGTTTCTGAAATGATGTATGCAAACCATCACAGAAACCCAATACAGTAGTTAATTTTTTTCCAGTGGTTACTTCTTGAATATCTTTAATGTTTCAGCAAGTTATTATGGTATACATACTGTATTTGATGATTGCCATTTTTTGTGGTTTAGTTTTATCCATTATAGGTAGGCACAAGTAACCAAGCACTTGTGACATTACCCTGTGCTTATGATGATGATATTTGATGATTACTCTCATCAAATATGATATATTTTTATATATTTTTTATTTATATATATTCAAGAAGGTACAATGGGTTTGTGAGTACAGTACATAGCATTGATGTTTTTACATTCTTGTAAAGCCACTAACATGCATAGCATTGTTAGCAGGTCCTTAATCTAACATATAATATTAATTAAGTAATTTGTAGTAAAACTGAAAAAGGTTAACAGGTATATTGTAGGAAAATTTAAAGAAAATTAGTAGGTACATTATAGTAAAATTTGAGAGGATTATCAACAGGCATTTTGTAGCATAATTTGAGGATTATTACTTGGTATATAATAATAAAATTTGCAGTCAATATAACAACCATAATATAAGATAATAGCAGTGATTACAATGATGAAGTTGTATGGCTTAGGTGCATATATTGGGGAAGTGGGTAGCACATGATGATACTATTAATATATAGTATATACATTTACAGATTAAAATATCTATGGAGTTAGTAGTTTGAAAAACTACTAAAACTGGAAGTTGGAAAAACAAATATATCAAAGAAATGAAAGGAAATTCTCGTACCCTGTACGTGTGGTCAACAAGTGGAATGCAGTGAAAGAAGTAGGTGTGGAAGCCACCTCCATCCACAACTTTAAGGACAGGTTCGACCATGACTTTGAATGTCAGAGTAGTTGTGGTATAACGCAACAGGTACAACAAGGCTAGTAGGTTGGGCCTAAAGAGCTCGACCCCCATAGTCACTGATAAGTAAGCACTGTGCCACAGCAAAGAATGTTTAATATATCCTCCAAAAATGATAGTACCTATAGTGACTATGGGTGAAATTTACAAACTAAAGACTGTTGCACCCAAAAAAAAAATCCATCTTTTGTACTGATTGATTTTGTAGAAACTGCCATGGAAGAAGGCAGCAATCAAATCTAATCTTTGTAGACCTACCTAGTATAATACATACATATATTAAATTGTGCCTAAGATTGTGAATATTAGGCCTAGGATTACTTATCTTGATCTAGGATAGGTCAAGTTGATGGTTATGCTGCTTCTCTTTTTGTTATTCACTTTTCTATACCAATAGTATGAAACCTAAGCTGAGCTTGTACCTAAGCTTGTTAATAACAAATATAAATAATTATGTATAAGATGCAATTGTTTCTTTTTCATCAAGTTTTTATGTTGCAGCTTCTGCTGATGAAGATATAATTATTGAAAAGCGAGGAAAAGGAGATTGTGTTGGTGTGGTCACCATGAATCGTCCAAAAGTTTTGAACAGTTTTACCAATTTGTTCATGTTGAAATTGGGAAATGCTATTAGAAATATGGACTCTGATCCTGGTGTTGCTGCCATTGTTCTTACTGGTGGTGACAAGGTCTTTTCTTCAGGTCAGTGATGAGGAGAGTTCTTAACTTATAAATCTGCATAAACTTGATCTGATTTTTATGAAACTACAATTATTTTAAGTGATGTAGTAATTAATATTAATCTATACATACACAGTTTTCTGGGACAGCCCTTGCAGTAGCTTTTTGGAACATATGAGCTAATATAGCCAAGTATAAGAATGGCAACAGGTCTCGGACCTATTTGGGATTCTTGCTGACCTACTGGGAGCCAGAACTAGAATCTAGCTCTCTATGAGGAAAGGCAGAGAAAAGGTTCATATATCTATCTAAAACTGGGAAAAGTCTACCAGAAATGCTAGACAAAACAAAACAAGCAAATGCTTGAAAGAAATGGCCTCAGAGGTAAACAAGTTCAACAGATCATTGCTATTTGTGAAGAACCCAATTTCTAATGAGCCTGGCTGCCACCAGATTGCAGGCCATCTCCCAATAGACTTGATTCGGTCTCACAGGCCTGGTACAATTCCCCCAAGGCTTGACAGACCCAGTACATATTATATCTTGGGAGACTAATGAGTGACCCCACCAGAAAAAGAGCATTTCATTACATTCAATGCTTTTATTTTTCCATTTCTCTCGGGTAATTACCCAACCACTTGGGCTGGACAGTAGAGTGACGGTCTCACTTCGTGCAGGCCAACGTTCGATCCCCGACTGTGCAAGTGGTTGGGCACCATTCCTTTCCCTCCCCGTCCTTACGCAAATCCTTATCCTGACCCCTTTCAAGGGCGATATAATCGTAATGGCTTGGTGCTTTTCCCTGGTTAATTCCCTCCCTTCCCCTCCCTCTTGTAATTCTTTCTAGCCATACTTGGCAACCAGCAACAACATTTTCACACTTTACAGTATCAAGTACAACTTGACTGGTTTACAGCACAATTTATAAAATTCATAAGAAAAGATTTTGATTATGGATGATGAATATTATACATTTCTCATGACACTTGGCTACCAAAATGATTTGAAGAAAATTATGGTTTTCTGACTTGAAGCATGTTGCTCAAATATAGGAATGCACAAATGATATTGAGAGGAAAGGATTATATCTTAAAAGCTGCAAGTATTATTTAAATTCTGGAATACAAAGAAAATTATCAAGAGAGATTATACATCCCCAATATTGTATGTTCTTTTATCTATAATTATACGATGAATATATTTTTATTCAAGATGTTCCTCCTCCAGGTGGTGACATAAGAGGAATGCAAGACTTGAAGTTTCAAGACTGTTATTGGAAGTTCATGGAAAACTTTGACACCGTTGTTACTGTAAGGAAACCGGTAATAGCTGCTGTGAATGGCTATGCTGTTGGTGGTGGCTGTGAGCTGGCTATGAGGTGTGACATCATCTTGGCTGGAGAGAATGCCAAGTAAGAACTGATATTTTAACTATTAAACTTACCATCTGTTCATCGTAATGGTATTAGTTTTAGTTGATGCATGAATGTTTAAGAGAGAAAAGAAGGGAAGAGAAAGAAAGAACAAGAAAAATTAGTGTTATTTTTGTTGGAAGCAACAGCAACAAAAAAAAATCATAAAATGTTTCTGTAATATGTACTGTATTCACAATTTCATCGACAGGTTTGGTATACCAGATAGTAAAATTGGTGCTATTGCTGGGGGAGGTGGCACTCAGTGGCTCCCTCATATTATTGGCAAGTCTCGTGCTATGCAGATGTGTCTTTTAGGGGAGACCATAACAGCTCAGCAAGCCAATGAATGGGGTGAGCAGTGTTCTTACTGTATGCAGTGTTCTTATTATCCAAATCTTTCCTAGAGTGAGCAATGATCTTGAATGCCATGTTGCTACATATACTGTATGATCAAAATTTATCAAGGCACACCCTAGGATGAGCAAAGATCTTTTAATTTCATCATCTCCTCATTTGAACAATCGCCTGTAACATCACTTTGAAAATGTCTATGGATTAACAACAGGTACCATTGGCAAAGAGTGATGGATAATGTCATGGTTAGCATATTTTCACTGAAATAAACAGAGGCTAGTAAGAACTCTAATTTAAAGTTTAACTAAGGTGGCTAGCTTGTTATATATACTATATAGTACAGTAATTCTAAAATTAATATAGAATATACAGTACAATTGCATTTACAAAACCTAATAGTAAAACAATATTATTATTATTTTGGCTTAGACAACAGCTACTAATTTAGGTCACATTGTACGTATTAGATTTTGCTTATACTGGATATAGGAAATAGTCATATAACAACTTTCAAAGGCTTAGGAAATATGCAACTTGTTCTGTTATTTTCTGCAAAGCAGGAAAATATTATAAGCCTCATTTACCACTATTTAAAAAAAAATTATTGATGCCTTAAAAAAAATCACTATAAAACATTACATCAGTTTTAGATTTAGATTTGTTTACATCTTTTGTCAAAATATAACATTTTAACAAAAGAAATTTTACAGGACTGGTAAGTTCTGTTCATCCAGCAGACCAAGTGGTAGATGAAGCTGTTCAACTTGGGGAGAGGATTGCTCAACACTCCAAGCTGATTGTGGCTATGTGTAAGGAGTCTATCAACAATTGTGAGTTATAACCCAAATAGTTTTTTATATGTATATACAGCATATATAGTTCCTGACACTCATCATCATCACCACCGAGTGGGGGGGGGGGGAGGCAAAACATGGTTCACAGGCAAACCCGAAAGTGAATTTTGTTTTGTCCAATATGATCGGAAGATGCATTAGGCAGGGATCTTTCTGAAGCTATATGAAATTACTATATGAATTAGAAACAAATTTAAAGTAACATTTATGATAAGGAATATGCCAATAAACAGTGAAATGCTGATAATATTTTGAAATAATTTAAATATATTTTAGCTATGAAATAAACTGGTTTAGTTTAGGTTTAGAAACTGAATATTTCTAGACTGGTTTAGAAATTATATATGGTTGATATTTATGCAAAGATACTAATAGGTAAGTTGACTGCATGAAGCCGAGATACCTGTAATCTAGTTCAAAGTTAAATGGAAAATGCATTCATGTTAGTTATGGCAAATTATGAAAAGTTTAAATTAGAACTTATAATGATTGGTAAGTGACACGACTACTAATAGAAAGTAATTACAATGTGGCTAGACATTACAGTATACTGTATTTAAGGATACATTTATTTAGAATCTTACTTGAATATTCTCTGCATTCATAAATAATGGAGGATGTATGGTTTGAATCTACTTGTCCAGTTACAGTCAACACACACCAATGGCATTACTTAACTCTCACTGGAATACATTGCATACAATGCCCAGCCACTTCCAGAGTATGCATTTTGTAACTGTTGTTGTTGTTGTTATAGATTCAGCTACTCGGAACAAGTTCCAAGTAGCACGGGCTATGGTGAGCCCGTAACTTACCTGTCACAGGAGCGGGGCAAGTAGCACGGGCTATGGTGAGCCTGTAATGGACTTATCTGGCACAGGAGCGGTGCTGTGTCTGATTTTTTTGTAACTGAAATACTTTGTCATATGCATTGTAGACTCTTTGGTACAAGAATTATTTGTACTTCACTGAAAATTTTAGGTTTTACTTTAAATTAAAATTTGATAAGATTATTCGATAATATTATCCAGTACTAGATTAAGTAACGTTAAAATATATTTTAGTCTACATTATCAAACAAGTCAGACAAAATTTAGCTATATGATATTTATGAAAGTACAATATTTAATTGGGATGAAAAATCATCAATTTAAGTATTATACTGTGCATTAAGCAATTGGCTAACTACTGGATGGTAAACAAGTTTACCATCCAGTAGTAAATATAATATAGGCTCCCTTGTTCATGCTTTAAGTATTTTATGATTTTGACATGCTTAAGTAACAAATTTTGTCACCATTACTTTATTTTCAAATTAAATTTCATTGCTACATCTTCCGATACTTAGTGGTTATGTCATATTGTTCTTCTACATTCATATACTTTTTTCCAGCCTTTAATTTGCCGCTGAGTCAAGGGCTGCACTTTGAGAGGAGATTAAGCAATATCACATTTGCCACAGTGAGTAATGTAATTGTTTAAAAAGAGCAATTTTATTATTTATCTTTAATGCAAAGAAGGAGGGTTATAGTTCTTACATAGTTACAGTTATATAAATTATGTATAATAATTGTTCCTTAACCCAAGAAATGTGTCCATCAGAATTGCCATGCTGCATGTGCATAGAGTGTAATGAAATTCCTCTTTCTGGTGGGTCTTTGCTGCCTGGAAAGCTTCATGCAATTAAATCCATACCAGATCTTGCAAGTCATATATAAATCTACTGGGACCATTGGCCAAAACCTAGTAAGAATATAAAAGGTAAAAGCTCGGGAAAGAAAGATAAGGAATAGAAGTCATTATTTATTAAAAAAAAGAGTAATATAGGAGGAGGGGATTTGAACCAGACCATCATGTGGCCTGCAGTGTGAGTGTAGCTAAAGATGAAAAAAAAAAAAAAAAAACTGTCAACATAGAAGGGTTTCCCTCGTATAATTTACCGCTGGTTGTGCTTCCCTAGATATTCAAGTGCAACCAGTCTTTTACCTGTCAACTTTAAGAAGTATTTGTTCCGATTGATAAAGTTACACAAGTATTGTATTCGTTGCAGAATGATCGTCTTGAAGGAATGACAGCATTTGCCGAGAAGAGGACACCAAAATATACTGACAGTTGATATTTTATATTATAAAAATAACACAAAAATAAACACTATTTGCAAAAGAATAAATTGAAAAATGTTAAACATTTAACGTATCCATAGTTTTATAATGAAATGTACAGTACTTTTCTACGGGCAACCCTTTCAGTAGTTTCCAAATTATACACAGCACTTCAGCAAGTTTTAGGGCTGATAAATATAATTATTGTAATTTACAATTTTGGTCAATTTTATATACAATACATAGTTCAGAGAAGAGTATTTTTAATTTTTTTTTCTACAGGATGCTACTCTGCTATTTCTTTTTAGCGGCTGATACCTCCTCACAGATGTGGGAATTGTGATAATTATGATATATTACCAGTTTAATATAATCATAAGATTTTGATTTTTAATGGGGGAAGGGACCTTTGACAAGCCGCTGGCTATCTGTCCTCGTCGAAACCACTAGGGTTATGGCCCTCAGGTAAATCAGGTAAATAAGATAAAATATATTTTTAAAATCATAACCGGCTTGGAAAATTCTTGTATGCTATTTTAACCATCTTATATCATGAATAATTTATTGTACCATGCAGTACTTTAACAAATTAAAAAGATAAATATGGGAAAAGACTAGAATGTATATGATAATCCATGATTGTAACTGAAATGCCTTTATAATTTGTATAAAAGTTATGAATAAAGTTTCCAAAATCTAAATTTATGGTTAGAAATACCATTTTAGGGAAACAATAAATGTCATTAATTTATTTTGACTTTTAGCCTATATGAACTACAGGTATTCTTGCAGTTTCTTATGAAAAGTTCTTATACTCTTTATGCAAATCAAACTGATAATGCTGATATGGGAATAAAATTCACTTATGAAGAAATGTCATTTGTTAGGAATATAATATAATATTACAATTTATATTAATATTGGCCAACAGTCTTTTTTGCTGATTATCACATCACTAAATCCCTCACTCTAGATTTTGCCATAGATTTTATAGTCAATATATTTTTGTAAATTATTAATCTAATCTATCAATACTTTATGCAAGTATTGTACAGTATATTCACACTTTTACAAAGGACTGAGTTCCCTGATCTTGCATGAAAGTGAACTGCTAAGTATTTTGCTAAAGATCTTGTGGGGAAAAAGTTTATTTGCATTTCAGGACCATGAATATTATTATATAACAGTTTTAAATAATGTATACTACATTTATGTGGTTTCAAAATTTAAAATTTATTTCAATGTAGAACAATGAAATTATTATACGTTTTGAATAATACTGTATTAAGATTTATTAGCATAATACAGTACAATAGGGAAGAGCTGGTATGGATCTCTGCCCAAACATATTATGTGCTTTGGTCACAGTTTAGTACAAATCAATTGTACATATTACATTTCATAGCTCTAAGCCTAAGCTACAACTGACCCCTAAATTATAGCTGCTATATGCAGTATTTTGAACAGCATGCAAACAATTTTATTTAGCTTGGGAAGGCTAATGGGCCAACAAAATCAGTGCACAAAATCTGCAGTATGAAAGTGAAATATAATGTGCAAAATAGTGATCATCACTTAAATATAAATTAATATTCTCCAAAATAATGCATTATTATGCATTTTGCCCCTGGACAAAGCCTGGAAAGGCATACACAAAATTATTGGTAAAAATAATAGACAAGTTTCACACCCAAACCCGCTACAGAAAGCCAATCAGTTAATAACAAAATGGGCTCAGGTTTCCAGCTTTGGAATGTTACCAGCTAGCACTAGGGAGAAATTGCAGGCGAAATCCACAGACAGAAATACTCTCATAAATTTCATCTTGAGCAAGCAACATGAATGTGATGTTCCATATACAGATTATGAATTGGATGCAGCCCTCTCCAAGGGCAGTAGCACTGCTCCTGGTGAGGACGGTATCACCTATGATATTCTAAGACTTCTACATCGTGTACCCAGTAATCCATTATTAGAATTGTTTAATGCAAGTTATATCACTGGGCAGCTGGCAGTATCATGGACCACCAGTCTTACGGTACCTGTACCAAAGCCTGGCCAACCTGATGCTTTCTGTCCAATCTCACTGACCAGTTGCATGTGCAAAACCTTTGAGAGAATGGTGCTTAATAGATTATTGTATAGAGTTAAAGAACACATGTCACCTGATATCAATGGTTTCACATATGGTAAAAGTGTACACAACTGTATCACAACCTTTCTCACTGTTCATGGAGATAGAAGGCACAAGTACACAACATTTCTTGATTAAAAAAATGCCTTTGATATTGCTAATAAAGAAGTGATTATGTATGAATTAGCGAGAATGGATATAGGTGGACAATTATTACAATGGATACGAGGCTATCTTACCAATCGGAAGTCCTCTGCACTGTTCCAAGGCTACAAAAGTGAGACTAAATTAATGCAACTAGGCACCCCACAAGGAGGAGTAGTAAGTCCTATCTTGTTTAATGTTCTAATTAATGCCTTACTAAAATCAATCCCAACTAGTCCGACAAACATCACTATCAGCTATGCAGATGACATCCTTGTACATACTAAAACCCACTGCAAAATGGAAACCATCTTAAATTGTATGCATACAGCTTGTGAGAGCCTTGGTCTTGTAATAAACGCTGCTAAAATTGAGGTATTTAACAGACAAATTGGCAACTGCAAAAGTGGACCACGAAAACTTAAGATAGATAACATGCCAATAGACTATGTCTCTTCTTTCAAATACCTTGGTGTCTGTCCCTTGTACCTCAACTGCAGTCAATAAGTTACATCACTAATGTAGAGACAGACTCAAGGCTCTCAGAACTGTAATGGGGTACAGCCCTAAATACGGTGTTAATATTAGAATAGCAAAAATGATGTACTTAGCATATATAAGGTCTCTGATCGACTATCATGCACCAGCTTTGGTGCTGCAAAATGGCAAAAGTAATGACAGACTGAAAAAAAAGTAAAATGAAGCACTCAGAATTATACTTGGCTGTCCTATAACTACCAAAGTTCTCAATATGTGGAAAGAATTAAATATACTTAGAATTCAAGATAGAATATTTGAAATCAATCTTATGATTGCGTGATAACTTCTGTGTGATAAGCTTCTGCATGATAACAAAAACAACATTGTGTTAGTTGAACTGTTAGAACACATACGAAATGGAACCAGCGAGTCTAAATGGATTCAAAGAACAGCCACTCATATTAAAATGATGGGACTGCACGATGTATATACAGATGAAAGAGTTCAGCACTTCCTTCCACCCTGGAAGATAGTACCTTTTGACATCCTGACCCCTGCATACCCGACCAAGAAGCTAATCACAAACAACCCTCATGCTCAGCTTGCTGCTAAATTAAGCACCATAGAACACATTCACAATATACAAACTGAAAAAACATAGCACAGACCATATACACTGACGGATCACTCAATACAGCTACAGGGAGGGTAGGAAGTGCTGTTATTGCTCATCAGCCCAATAGAAGTACAATTCAAAGGAATATAAGAATTAGTAACTGGGCATCCACAATGCAAGCTGAGTTGGTAGCAATACTGGTAGCACACGAAATTATTGACAACAGTGGCGTAGACAGCTTAATTATTTCTGACTCCCTTTCCTCACTACTAGCAATAAACAGTTTGAAATTAAGTAATAATGTGCTTGTCTCAGAATTCAGACATAGATATATAAGCATACTTAGCAAGAGGGTAAATATAAAAATGTTGTGGATTCCTTCTCACATTGGCCTGCAGGAACATGATAAAGTTGACGCCCTTGCTAAGGCTGCAGTAAATAAAGACAGTATTGAACGGAATCTTGAGTTATCAAAAAGGTCCCTTAAAAGTGTCATTAGACGAGAACTCTTGGATGGATTTGAAGAAAGTAGAACAGTGCAAACTGGAACTAGCAGGTCCATTGTTTATCACAATGAAATGTGTGAAGTAAAACATGTGTATGGGGCAAGTAACAAAGTCAGTAGACTAACAGATGTTGTCACGCTCGAATAAGACTTGTCTACAAGTATTTCTGGCAGTTCGGCTTGTATAGGGATCTAGATGAAGTAAAGTGTTAAGTGTGTGTGGACAAAGGAACACACACTCGAACACTATATAATAAATAAATAATAAATAAATAAATAATAAATAATAAATAAATGTTTATTCAGGTACGGTACATACATACAAAAGATTTTACATAAATTGATCGATTTATAGTTAGAGCTAGTACATAAAATGCCTAAAGCCACTATTACGCAAAGCGTTTCGGGCAGGAAAAACATTAATGACTAAAACTTAATACTAATTGAGTATAAAGAATAAAATGTGTTGAGAACAAATAAAAATAAAGATAAAAAAGGGGGGAACATGGCTGAAAAAGCAGCAGACATACAATTAGGTCGACAAACAGCGTTGTTTAAGAAAACAGACATGGGTTGACAATAGGATTGTAGTACATGCAATATCTTGGATTGTAGTAAAATTGAGCCATTTAGAGATAAATCTAAGCTCACGCTGTATGATATGGCAACCTATCTTATTACCAACGATAAAATACCTGAAATCCTTGCACTGTATCCATATTTCGCTCCCAGTAGATAAACGACATATGAGATTAAGAAGCAAGTAGTGTATTGTGAAGACTAATAATAAACAGCAGCTCCCCTATGACTCTGTAATATCTCCATTGCTCAAACAATTATGTATTAGCGATAAGACCTACCATTAATGTATTATGACTTACTGCATATATATAGCTCTTGAAATAAAACATTCTCTAACTAGCTGACATTGTAACTATAAGTTGTGAAGGATAGATGAAATTGTTTATGTAATAATCTAAGATGAGGTCTGATAAAGACCTTTTGTGCCCTCTGTAATGCTTTTTGCGCTACCGCACACAGGATGAGTATGGGGTGCACAATAAACTAGCCGCCTCTGGCGGTAACAATCTTAACCTCGACAGAAATTGTCATCTGGGCAAAGGGAGAGGATCTTCGACAAGCCTCTGGCTTCCTGTCCTCGTCGAGGCCATTAGTGTTAGTAGCTCTCAGGTAAACTCTGGTAACCTGTAAGCTCAGCAAAGCATCAACTCCATCGACGACACTGGTCCATGAACACTACAGTCACCCAAATCTCCCCAACGAGCAAAACATATTCCTGTAATGTTTAACGAATTAAGGATTAAAGTTGATTCCTTATTACATTAACACAGTTTACACAGATTTGCCCCAACAGTTGTCGACAGCTGGTCAATATACTGTACATCACATCCTCATTTGGGGACGATGACGAACGAGGGATCGGATGCGTCCCGGCGTACCCCTGGAAGAGTAAATCGTAAAGCCGTATTGCTAAATGAACATCGCCGGTCGGCGGAAACTAATACACTGATGGTAAGATGATTGGGAAGCCCCAAGAGTCCCCCATGAAGGCAAGCACCGGCCCCGCCCCACACAGATAACAGTGGGTAGCAAGGAGACCACAAGATCCGCGAACTCCCGGGACCTTTCGGCCAAGCCGGCGTCGAACAACATCACCCCGCCCGAAGGACCAGCCAGAAAACGTTCAAAATCTATCCACTATCCTGTGGCGAGATATGCGCCAGGCGTCGCACAAACCGGACCGTTGAATAGAAATGCCAGACGGCAGTATCATAACCCTATGGGTAAAACCGCGAAACGG